ACTATAACTATTGAACCTATAAAAAAAGAATTGTTGACACACATATGAAGATTTGGTTGATGCGGTTTACCTGTGGTGGATGATTGACAACACTGATCAAGTTTGTTTCGTTTCGGATCTCTTTGCTCCAGAGAGAAAAGACTCTAAAACTAGCCCAATCGCTCCGATTCCACCATTCATACGACGACCAAGATCTGGTAAGAATAATTTGAAAATCTGACTATCTATTTTAGGCAAATTAAGAACGAAAAATACAACCATTTCAACGAGGGTTATCGTACTTACTTACATACTTACTTTCGTTGCCTTTCACGTAAATAAGTATAAGGTTATTCATGTGTTGGTAAAATTGGAAATGCTCTTTAAAAGATATGAGTTTTTTGGCAAATTTCTAAGAATTYATAAAGAATTATAATTGTACTTTTCATTCAGGAATTATTTATTTTCAATACATTTCTTATTAAAGTCTGTGTTTGCGCTATTTTGAAGCTTAATGCCGTTTAGCGATTTCATGCCGGAAAGAAAATTAGCACAAATATCTAAACTTYTCCAAGATATTACTGTATTCTCAAATTATTCAAACGATTAGAACATTCCACTAGAGGAATAAAAGCCAGATTATTAGAACAATAGCCAACGTGCACGATAACAAACACAGCATGACCAGAATACACCTRGTACTTTCAACGTTCTTTGAACTCCTCTAAGAAGTCGTCTCACAATTTTTCCTTTGAAAATTTCTATAAAAATGTGAGTATTTCTGAAAGTTTTCTTTGATTTCCCTGTTCAATTCTTTTTTTTTTTATTGGCACCTATGAATGAAAAATGACAAACAGATTATTTCCGAGAAGGAATTCTATTGTACTGCTATCTAACATGGCTGCTGGCAAGTTTGGTGCAAAACCTCYATCAGATGTTTTAGATGGGTGTAGAATGAAATACCACAGATCAACATTAGCTATAGCCAGCATAAGAACTGTTCATTTAAGAATGTTAATGATTTCATGGTCCAAGGGATTTGATTTCAAATTGTGGGAATATGAAATGAAAGAGCTTTTTAATTGCTTATACCAAAATTCCTTCCTATTAATACTCCATTTTGCAAGCCGAGGCTGCAGTTTCCGCGCATAGCAAAACTATGCTTTTTACCATGYGCGGAAACTCCAGCCTCGGCTTGGAACAGAACTGTAAAATGGAGTATTTATGCACCATCTGGTGTTTATCAGATTTACAGKCTATATTCAGCAAGACAATTGTTTATTTTTCTTGCAGTTTACTATTATAAACAGTAGAAAAAAGTACATGCACCATGGATGATGAAGCAGATAAACAAAAGCTTTCATCAAGCCGCATTCACAGTAGCACTGAATTTGATGGTCTCTTAAAGAAGATTGGAGACTTTTCAAAGTTTCAGTATATACAGTGGCTTCTCCTCTTTCTTGCCGTAATCCCTCAGGCATGGTATACATATGCACCAGCATTTGCTGCAAGGAAAGTAGACGAAACCCAGATGTTGTGTTCAAACACTATTAATGTCACTGGCAAAGCAATTTGTAAAGATAGAATATGGCAGGATGTGGATTACTGTGGAAAAGTGAAGTACAGCCCTGAGTATACCTCTGTAGCAACTGACGTAAGTAAATGTTTTGTAAAGACTTCAATGCTTTCTGATGCTTCTTTGACTCATTACAAGCAAGGCAACAAATGTGGCACCTTGCGTTCTTGCTTCTGTCCAACAAATAATCAAGTTGATATTTTTTTGATTGACTGGACGCAGGATTTTGTTTTTAGCTGGGGAAGCACTTTTTTTGATTGACATTTACAAACTCAAGTACCAATAATGCAGTAGATTATCAGTTCATCTATACAAGAGTGCATACCTCCCCTCCCCTAGATTTGTCCCTCATTGAWAAAGCCAAAATTTAAGTGATTGCAAAAGAGACCTCTCTTTAGACTGGGTATAAAGTTTTCCTATTTCAGACCATGTCTAATTCCCTAGAGCATCATTTCATTGTTTGACACTTGTGCATGAGACACATACAAAGAGATATAGCACAAACAAAGAATATTATTCTCAAGAGAATGAAGGTAAAGAGGTCTATTGCACACAGGCCTAGTAACATTTTTCTTCTTTTTCAGTGGAACCTCATCTGTGCAGATGCCAAGAAGTACATCCCTTTAACCAAGACCATCTTTTATGCTGGTAAACTTGTTGGTGCTTATCTGTTTGGCTGGATATCTGATCGGTATGGTCGTCGTGTTACTTTACTGTCTACCATGTTCATCCAGTTTGTAGCATCTCTGATCCAAAGCTTTTCTGTCAACTTTACAATGTATGTGATTTTAAGAGTTCCTCTTGGGGTCTGCAGTGGAGGTAAGTATATGTCAACCATTAACAGATGCCCATCATCTGCAACTTGAGGGTTTTTCCAGTGCAAAGTTGAGAGCATGTTCCATAGGTGTGTGTCAGTCTGAAAGAACTTTTTATTCATTTAATGAATACTTTGCTGTCGTTTACTAAATTTTTCAATAAAATCTCACCCTCTCAAAATCTTTTGATATTTGCACTTGAAAAGTGTGCACTATGAAATAATATGYGTATTGCTACACAGATCTAATGTTTTTTTTTTCCAGGCACTTTAATTGCAGCATTTGCACTGATGGCAGAGATGGTTGGACCAAACAGACGAAATGTTGCTAATATTCTTGTACAGTCTTCCTATGGCGTTGGCATACCACTTCTAGCTCTTCTTGGGTATCTTGTAAGAGGATGGATGTCTTTTAATCTTGCTATGACTATTCCCAATGTGGTGTTTGTACTCTACTTCTGGTAAGTCTGAGTAAATGAGCTACCAAAATGTGGGGAGGTTAATTGCAGCTCTAAAAAGATCTATGTAACCCAATTGGATAATTTTTTTAAAAATCTAATATTTCTATAGCGCAAAATACATTATATATAATCTAATGCGCTGAATGATGGATACAATAGAATGAGAAACAAGATAAACTAAACARTAGAAGAAGTCGACAATGAAAACTATTGACAATGTGAGCATCTAATATTTTATCTAATAGATGCACCCATTTTCAAAATAACATAACCCAGACTAGCTGTATTTGAAGACATCTGTTTGTATACAGGAAAGCTAAAAAACCCTCAAGGTCCTCAAGGTTGTTTTTCAACTTCTGACTAGTCCAACAACCACACACCATTAAAAAACCTTAAAATTTGATCAATACCCTGAAACAGCCTCTGGGCTGATCTAATTGAACCCTGAAACAACCTCTGGGCTGATCTAAGTCAGGGTACAGCTAACTCACAGATCAAATCCTGAAACAACATCTGGACTGATCTATGTCAGAGTACAGCTTACTCACAGATCAAACCCTAAAACAACCTCAGGACTGATCTAAGTCAGGAGGGCATTTAGATGCTTTGCGGAGGGAGGAAAACYAGAGAACCTGGAGAAATACTCTGGAATCAAAAAAGAGACCTAACAAACTCTATTCACATGAGATGCCAAGTCTGGGAATTTAATCCTAGGCAAAATTGAGGGATAAGTGCACTACAACTACTATACACCACCCTTGATTGCCACAGAGATGAACTACTGACACTAAGTGATTATTGGATAAGGTTGAGCRTGATATATTGTAAATATTTATCAAGACCGAGGTTTGTGTCATCTGGCCAAAAAGCTACCAAGCCAGAGACAACATGATTAATATAAACAAATGTCTTGATTCACGTGGCAAAGCTACCATGTGCAGTGACCTTGAATGAACTTGACGGGTTTAATCTATTATCTGCAAATTTTATGCGCATAATAGATTTATATCCTGTTGAGTTCATGAGCTATTGAAAATTGTCCTTATGTTTTTAGCCAATCAGAATTGAGATAGTGAGTAAAATATWTTATAATAAAGAATAGTTGCTTTACCTTTCTTTTTCTAGCTTTGTCCCAGAGTCTCCTCGCTGGCTTGCTGCTCGAGGAAGAATCAAGGAAGCTGAGGTTATCTTACGTAAAATAGCAAAAATAAATGGCCATGAGTATGAGGAAGGGGATTTGGAACAGATTCAGGGTTTATACAAGAAGGAAGAGGCAACAAAGACATACCACTTTTGGCATCTGTTCAGTACAAAATACCTCACCAAGACCACAATCATTGAAGGATGGTCATGGTATGTTAAAAACTTTTAATTTTTATGGTTACCCTGAAACAACCTCTAGGCTGATTGAAATCCACAAATAGCCAACTTAGGCCTAGGGCAAACGTCRAACTTTCCATGCACCAAACTTAATTACATCAAAGAATGCCGCCTCATTATCACCTGATATCCATTGTTTTTAATGAGTTCGGTGCATGAAAAGTTCGACGTTTGCCCAAGGCCTTACAGATTTAATTGGAATTGGACCACCACCTCCTTGAAAACCAGAGAGCCAGGACCCAGTTGTTCAAAGCCCRATTACTGCTAATCCTGGGTTAACTCTTAATAAGACCTATAGAGTTAATCCTGGATTTGCGCTAATCCAGCTTTGAACAACCCGGCCCAGGAAAAAAAMCCTGAAATTAAGGGAGAGACCCAACAAACTCTACTCACATGTGATGTCTAGTAATCAAACCTAAGATCCCAGAGGTGAGAGGCAAGTGCATTATGCTATGCACCTTTGATTCCCAAGGTCATCAAACCTGGATTAGCTCTAATCAGCTTGGGACACCCCATTTTTCTTTTCATATTTGGAATCAGCATATTTAAATTTCAGGTTAAGAGAGTTTCAATTTTCTGTTCATCCCCCCCCCCCCCCCCCCCAAAGTAGTCAGCCACCTTAACAGTGTTTTGTTTGGCCTTGAATATATTACAAAATTGCAGCATACTTTTCAGTATGAGATTTCAGATCTTAAACTGACAACTTATTTTCAAATAGGAGTATATGATAAGAGTGTTTTTTGAATGACCTACAGGTTGGTTGTCAGTGGTGTGTACTACGGGCTGAGTTTCAACTCTGGTAACTTGTCGGGAGATTACTACGTCAACTATGCTGCATCAGGACTGGTGGAAATACCTGCATACATTATTGCTGGAATTCTTGTTGACAAGTAAGATTTTTGCTACAATAGCTGAGGTACTTTTGTACCATCATTCATGTTCTCATGCCCATAATACAGCTTGGGCTGCCTGTGGTTAGATGGCAGAATGATGAAATCCCTTTGCKCTTGGGAATTGATTTCTTTCTTATGTAAAATTGKTGTATTGTTCCTGCCATCAAAAACCAGACAAAAGTTATGACCAGGAAGCATTGAAGTGAGAGCCCCCTGGAACCAAGGGTACACCTCCTTCTCCCAACCTATGATGATGGATCACATTCCTTGTTTGCAAGTTACATCATCACATGGCCATGTTGCTGGTATTTAACACAAAAAACTTCATGTTTATACCACCAACATGGCCACCATGTCTTTATCATTTGACTCAGGTCAGTTAGGTACTATACTTATTTACCAGTGTTTGTTTGCTCCAGGGTTAACAGACGAATCCCTCTCATTGGCTACTTTATTCTTGGTGCTGTCTCCCTTCTCTGTATTGTGCCAATACAAGCCACGGGTAAGTATATCAGTCATATAAAGAATAGCAAATGTGACCTGTTCTGTTAATAGTAATGATAAAAGGGCCAATCTTACGCTGCAAAAAAATGAAAAAAMTGACGTTTYGGACGCTAGTCCTTCGTCAGAGTAAAAACGATTAATTGGATGTGACGTCAAAAGAGCTCAAGAATTTCAGTCTTCTAAGAATTGGAAACCTAATGTTATGTCCAGGCTCCAAATTGAGCTGCATTCTGACATGCTGAAAGGGGGGAAGATCTAAGGGGTGGACATACTGCTAGCCCTCCTTTATGAATCTGAAAATTTTTTAAGCACACAAAGCCTCAGTAGATCTGACCTCTTCACCTTGGTTGTTTGTTGTGCACATTTTAGACCATCTGATGCCACTCTTTGGAGTTGATTCTTTCATGTGAAAATATTCTAACATGTTCATCATAAAAGAACAATTCTCAGGGGAATGTCACATGGTCTGAAATGGGCAATTTGTATACCAAGGTAAGAGGTATATACAGTGTGTGCAACAAAAAATCCCTTGAGATATGAATAACAATGAAACCTATACCATGTTGGTTGATCTAACAAGAAAAACTAATGAGAAATGCTTTGTTATCATCAACCAAGATGGAAGCTATGGTGTAACATGCACATGCTCTATTCAATTTGACTGTCATAAAAAACGTAAGAATTTTGTTTGGTTAAATTTCATAAGCTATAGTAAACTGGTCAATTATTTGTTAAATATTTGTATCCAAGAATGCATTTTTTCTCATCCACAGGGTCACTAAGATTTCAAGGCCCCGCATTTTCACACCAATTCTCCCCCTCCAATAAATAATATACTTTCCCTAAGCGGTCCAAAGTTTGGGTTGATATTCTTGGAAGAAGAGATTGATATTTTGAAATTGATTTTTTTTCTTTTTTTTTTTTGAGATTGATATTTTATGCTTGACATTCTAGGCAAACAGGATGAGCTATCAGCAGTGGTAATGGTATTGGCTCTGATAGGAAAGTTTACCATCTCGGCGGCATATTATCAAGTGTACATCCATGCTGCAGAACTCTACCCCACAGTCATTAGGTATGTTTTGCTTATATAATCTAAAAATCTATTAAGCTTTAGCTGTTGTATCACAGCATGGGACAATCATAATAGATCAGGCTCCAACTAGGTGAAGAAAGATCGATTTAGAATTTAGAAGTTGATTTTTGTGGAAGGAGAAAAAACAAGAGAATCTGGAAGAAAAACCCTTGAAGCACAGGAGAGAACCAACAAACAACTCTACTCAACCCAACCCGACTTGAGCCCGGGTCACATTGGTGAGAGGAGATTCATTAGCAGCGCACCCTGCCATACGTCTATTATATGTGGAGATTTGGAGGTATAGTTAATCTATTGTGAAGGAGGTGTTCTAAAAATCAAATAGTCATCATGTCCTGGGAAGCAAAGGTGATGTAGCATAAGTGCACTCACCTCTCACTTCTGGGGTCTMGGGTTAGATTCCTGGACTTCGCACCACATGTGAGTAGAGTTTGTTAGGTCTCTCTCTTGATTTGAGGGATTTTTTCCATTCCCGAGTTCTCCAGTGTCCTTTCTCCAAAAAGCCTAATACGTTAAATTCACATATATGTAAGTGAAATACTGTGAGTCACTTCCGTCGTTCCGGAAGTGATCATGATTGGCATAAAATTTGTGGCGTAAATATAGCCTATCATATTAATTCATCTTTATCTCTTAATAATGACCACTTTCGAAGYACTTTCTCTGGGTTCGTCAGTTCTCCTCCCTCCACAAAACCTAATACGCTAAATTCCAAGTCGATCTGTGAGGTAGCCATGCCCTGACTTTGRTCRTCCGAGAGATTGTTTCAAGATTCTAGGATAATAAAAGTGATATAATTATTTACTTACAGGTCAGCTGGTGTTGGGTTCGCRTCATTATGTGGTCGCATTGGTGGTATGGCTGCACCATATGTTGTGGTATGTGAGAGCACTTTCAATGTCTTTTATCTTAATGTAACTTTTACACGAAAGGACCGTGGGAATTTGACTTCAGTGGCTTGTCTGACCTAATCAAAATTCATTTAATCAAATACTGAAGAAATAGGAAATGCATGTGTGTGCTGTGTGCAGTCAGTCATAAGGCACAAGRTGTTGGCAGAAKTATTAGAGAAGTGTTAGGAGAAGCACGACGCGTAGCGGATTTTATAAAATACAAATTACAATAACCATCATTTTTGGATAGGAATGCGGCAACTGGTAGTGCGCKYGCTTGCTGTGTGCTCTCTTAAAGCGTGCATGTGCTTTGTGCTCTCATAACGCATGCRCTCCCAGCCACTCAGAACGCAAGGTTCATAACAATGATTTTATAATTGCCCTATTTCATAATG